ATCAGGAATGGTTTCTTGAAGGAGGTGATGTTTGAACTTGACTTTGAAGGACCTGGCAAACCCAGTAGTTTGACAGCAGAATAACAAGAAGTGTCCTATTGGAAACTAATCTTGGTGTAGAAAGCACAGAGGAAGTAAAGCTTCTTTTGATAGGTTCATTAGAAACTAAATTCATACACACAGAAAATCGTTCATCTTACTGTGCTGTGTGCCTGTGGTTGTGTTTTCACGGGCTCATTATTTTACTGGCAGCGGACTCCTCAACTGGAAAGTTCTGGTAAGAACAGGAATTATGAACTAACAGAAATCACAATAAATAAATAAACTAGCATTGGGGGAAGTTTTTTTAATGAGTCTTTATGTTTTTCCCCTGGTTTGTGGCCTCCATTGGTGGTAGAACCTTGATTAGAGAATATCTTCTACTTGTTTTAGGAAAAAATGGAGCACAGAAAAGCTGTTGAAGCTGGTAGCTAAATTGGTATTAGAGCCAATGCCCCCAGATGCCCAGTGCAGTGCTTCTACTGCCTCCTTAGAAGTGCTGGCTCTGCACCAAGCCCGGCAACCTCATCTTGCCAGTACTGCCCTGTGCCTGGCAGTGCCCAAGGGTACCTCATATGGAGATCTGTACAGATGTGTGCTCCAGTCCAAGGTTTACATGATACAGAGCAGCTCCTGGGTACAGAACAAAAGCCTCACAAGTACTGATCCAAATGAGTATGCTGTCATGAGGTATCTGAATACGCTACACAGAAAATAGTGCAGAATCTAGTCATCAATACATGCTCTTTCCTCCCCCCAAAAAGCCTGAGGCTTGCTTTGTTAATCAAATAAATGACTTGCCTAAATTTAAATGGCAATTTAAGAAAACTTACTATTAGGAGCAGTATTTTTCTTAATTTTATGAGCTAGAATCCAAATTTATCTTTTTAAAATTAGATTTGTCAGTGCTCTCTGAAAGCTATTAAAGTGATGGAAATATAGAGCATAATAAATTCTCATCCTATTTGTGGAATAATTTTTCTGGGGTTTAACAGGATAAAAACAGCCTAATTCTAGTTTGAAGATGACCTTCCTTAGTGTCTTGAGAATGAACTCTTATGGTGAATGGAAGCCTCAAATACAAGCCTTTAACTTTGGATCTTGACTCATGAGAATCAGGGAGAAATTATTCGGGTTGGGTTGATCATAATACTTGTTATTAGGGTAGTCTTTGTCAATTCTAGTCTCCATAAGGTTCTTTAGGACTTGGGCCTGGTCTTTCCAATTGAAAGGGAACAGTGTCTTCTTCCCAAGTGGCAGCTGCCTTTTTCATTGAACTTGTTCCTAGAGGAGTTTCTAGTTGTGGCTCTTTGGGAGAGTGCAGATATTCTTCAGCATTTGCATTAATTTTATTAACTACCAATAAGTTCTTATTATGGATGTGGCAAAGAATTTATATA